TTAACTTATTCAATTTTAACTTATTCAATTTATATAATATAATGTATGATATAATGTGATATTGTAATTGTTAAATTTAAAATAGTAATATAAAGTTTTTCTAATATTTGTTAAATATTTTTAAGTATGTTAAACAAAAATATAAAAAAATATTATGTAATTTAAATTTAATTGGATTATATAATTTAAATTATTAAATAAATTCTTGCTATTAAAATTTTTTTATTTAATAATTTTTATTATATTTTATAATTAACATAATTGAAATCATCAAACATAAAACTTGGTGAGAATTATCTTTAAAAATAGAGTTAATAATTATATTAATAATCTGTTAATTTGAATGAAAAAAAAATCTTTTTTTGACTTTTCATAAATTTAAATTTTATAAATAAAAATTATTAAAAAATTTATAAAATTTTGTATAATTTAATTTTAAATTAATTAAAAATTAATATACTTTTTACATATGAAAAGATGGTTAAAAAAAAAAAAGTGTTAAATAGCTCTGGATAAAAGCATGATAATTGCGCAGAGTCAATTGACTCAATTCCGTTTTCTTTTCTTTTATTTATTTATTTATTTTTATTTTGTTGCTCAGGTCACATAATCAACGCATTCACAGTTACATCATTTTGTATTTGTATTTGTTTTTATTTTTGTTTTTGTTTTTCTAACTCAGCCCTTGGCGTTTCCTTTCCTTAGCTGTGAAACAAAAACTCTTTCTCTGTCTCGCCTCGTCGCATATCTCCTCCTACTCCGCCGATTCTACGCTACTATTTCTCACCCTTTGCTTTCCCCTCCCTCAGCGTATCGGACCTCGAATCTCTCCTCCTTCACGGGTCTCGAATTTCAGGTAAAGCATCTCTTTCTGTTCAAGGTGAAAAAAGCTACGGAATTTGAGGTATTTGGCTTGTGTTCTTCACCTGTAATTTTATCCAATTGATTCTAATCTTGATTTTTCTTGAAATTATGGAATACCCATCTTTCCTTGTTCTGAATTTAACATGGGTTTGATGCGGACGCCGAGGAAACTTGCGGTTTAGTTTGTTATGCGGGAAATTATCTCCGTTTTCCTGGCTGAATTTTAGGGTTTCTATTTTTTCTAGGTTTGCAATTAAGATGCTGTTGATTTATGGCAGCTTGGTTGGTTGTGGTTGTGAAATTTAATTGAAAAAGAAAAGAGTGGGCAAAATCAATTAAGCTGGTGTGATTGTTTGGAAATGTGCTTGTTTCTGTTTGAATTTTCGCAATGCTTGTGGATTTTGTCAAAGGTGTAGACTTCTGTGACTTTCTTTGTATCTTTGGCGTGGATCATTATGTGGGTTGGTTTTCTTTGGTGAAATTACTGAATCTTGCAGCAGTTTTTGTTCCCAATCAATAATAATTATATCCTCCTTGATATTTTACATTCCTACATATTTACATTATCTTTTGCATATAATGAGCTGCATCGGCCTTTAATATGTATTATTATGGTATAATTTCTCATCCAACTAGGTAACCTTGCTTTCTGAGCCCAAATTCTGTCCAAAAATCAGTGTTCTTTCTTATGGCAAATTTTATATGGAATTGGAATGTTTCTGCATGAGAAGAGAAAGAGATTGTTTTGATTATCAGTAATTACAGTCTGTGTTGAGTCCTATATTTTGTTTCTTGAGGCCTTCTTCAAAGTGTTTCTTAAGGCTTGGATTTCCTGAGCACTCTATCGAGGCTCATATTGAGTTAAGAGAAGGGGAGCTTTATGGTAGCTAGTGAAGTAGTGGTTTGGTAGGGTGTTTTACCAAATAAGAGTTAGAAAACCTAACTGCTTGGGATGAAGATCTTGATCTAAAGGTATTATCCATACCCTTCCAATGGTAAAAAATGTTGGGACTGGAAAATCTTATTCAGTTAACATGAGAAACATTGGCAGAAAAAAATTTCACTTCTTAGTCTGAGGACTCATTGATGATACTTGAATCCTTCCATAAATCTGTCTCCAACCCCTTTTTGCAGCATCACGTTATTTGTTTTTTCTATCTTTCTGTTTTGTTCTTGATTCTTGAAGCAGGTAAGCTAGTTTTCATCCCTTGTTAACTTATTAAAAAAATGTGGTTGAAATAAATAGATTGCGGGTTTTATCTTATACTTCAAAACTGTTGGAAATTGGATTCCTTCTTCATCAAGAATGAATTATGAATGTATGACTGGTGGTATCAGTTCTAATCTTCAATATTCTATGAGAAATTTAAGTATTAATTTGTTTGCTAAGGATCAGTACTTCTCTTAAAAATTGCTTTCTACTCTTTGGTGAAATTTCATGGTTTTTATCTGTATCATTGTTATTTCCAGATTTCTCATTTTCATTGCAAATAGCAATTTTGTGGGTAATGAATTGTTATTAGACAGTCAAAGACATGGAAATTGCTGTTTGAAGAAGGAAAATTTGTGCTGTTTAATCTAATTTAACCATTATGACGTCAATGTCACTTTGCATTTCTTGTGTTAATCTTAGGGGGACATGAGATTTTCCATTTTTGCATCAATCTCGGTTCTGTGACCTGGCTGCATACTTGTTCTTGCCTATGAATCTAAATGATCATATTTATCTCTGATATTCCCTAAAAGTGCTTTTCTTTTCTTTCAGATTGCATATTCCATCTCCGTCACAGCAAATAATCATTGTAAGTGGATAAAATCTTAATATGTCTGGATTGATTGAAGGCCTTCCAGATGCTGTTGCACTCAGGTGCCTTGCATGGGTTCCCTTCCATCTCTATCCCAAGTTGGAGCTTGTTTCTCGTTCCTGGCGAGATGCTATTCGTAGCCCTGAACTGTTTAAAGCTCGAGAAGAGGTTGGTTCTTCAGAGGAATTACTTTGTGTATCTGCATTTGACCCTGAGAATTTATGGCAGCTTTATGATCCTCTCCGAGACCTCTGGATCACTCTTCCTGTTCTACCCTCGAAGATTAGGCATCTAGCTCACTTTGGTTTGGTCTCCACTGGTGGAAAGCTGTTTGTGCTCGGAGGTGGGAGTGATGCAGTTGACCCTTTGACTGGTGATCAAGATGGGAGTTTTGCAACCAACGAGGTCTGGTCATATGATCCCATAATACGTCAATGGTCTCCAAGAGCATCCATGCTTGTACCTCGTGCTATGTTTGCTTGCTGTGCTTTGAATGGCAAGATTATTGTTGCAGGTGGTTTCACCAGCTGCAGGAAATCGATCTCTCAAGCAGAAATTTATGATCTGGAGAAAGATGTCTGGATCCCAATACCTGATCTCCACCGCACTCATAATTCAGCATGCACAGGGTTAGTTATTGAAGGAAAAGTTCACATATTACACAAGGGATTGTCAACAGTTCAAATCCTGGACCGTTTGGCACTTGGGTGGACAGTTGAGGATTATGGTTGGCTTCAGGGTCCCATGGCAGTAGTTCAGGGTGCCCTCTACATCATGTGCCATGGACTCATTTTCAAGCAAGAAAAGGAATCAAGAAAAGTGGTTGCTTCAGCATTATCTGAATTTCGTCGAAGAATTGGTTTTGCAATGATTGGACTTAGAGATGAGATTTATGTGATTGGGGGGGTGATAGGCCCTGAGAGGTGGAATTGGGATATCAAACCAACATCTGATGTTGATGTGTTGACTGTTGGGTGTGACAGACAAACATGGCGCCAGGCAGCGCCAATGACAAGGTGCCGAGGAACAATTCTTGGATGCACACAGCTAAGCATATAGATTCCTACCTTTTTCTTCTGTGTTTATCACTCTGTTGTCAAAATTGTACTCTCTTGTTAGAGGCAATGCATCCCACCTCTTTGAGACGAGGAATGATCTTTGAATTAGCTACTGCCTTCCTTCTTTGTAAGGCTTAATTGTCAATCTTGTCTTCTGTTGATTGAATCTTTATGGGAAGGACAGATTTAGATGTAGAATGGGAATTTGATATGATGTGAACTGAAATCCTCTGGACCCTACTAGGTTGAGTCTGGTCGAGTCTGTCAATTCAAAATAACTAGATTAAAATTGATTAATTTTTAAAATTTTAAAATTTTAATTAATTATATTTTAATTGTAGTTTTTAAATAAAAAATAAAATTTAAAAACTAAAATTTAAAATAGAAATTAATTATTATTTATTAGATTATTAGAGTGAATATTAGTTTAATAGATTTTTTTTAAAAAAAATGGTTGATTAATATTAGATTTTTTAAAAATGAAAATGGAGAAAATATTGAAAAATTTTAAGTATGATCTACCCAACTCAATGTGGAACTCATGTAGATGAATTATGAGTTTATTTCTTTTAACCTGAAGCTTGAAATGATCCTCTAACCTAATAAAAGTAATAAATCCAATATCAGAAATAATCTAATTCATATTCACCCAACAGAAGCCAACCCATTTTCCAGGTTTAACTGAAGACCATGCAATGTTAATAAGCAGCAGACCGGTGCAAGAAAATCATGTCAGTAGTAACATATGGAAGAAAAGCTTCTGCGTTAGAATTCTGCTGTATATGCACCAAAATTATTCTCAGTCATATTGAAACTTTTGGTTCAGTTTCATATGGTATTGTTTACACCATAAACTACAAAAATTTAAACACGTGCGAGGCCACTAGAAGATTTTTAAAAAAACAGATATCATAGCTATTTTTTTATTTGGTTGTCAAAATTTGAACAATTAAAATTGACAACTGAGAGTTAAAATAGATAACTTGTTAAAAAAACATTTTCAAAACTGATAATCATAAACTGAAAATCTTTTTACTGCTTCCAACCTAATTTAGTTGTCAAAGTTTAACTTCTGCATAAAGTTTGACTAAATGATTTTATATAATAAATAAATAATAGTTAAAATTTTTTTTTCTTTCCCATCAACCTTTTTTGCCTTTCCACATTTATTTCTTCTTGATTTTTATCATTTAGATAAAAAAATTTAATTCTCATTTATTTACTATATAAAATCATTAAATTAATTTATATAAAATTGAGAGATTAGAACAATTAAAAAAGAACAAAGGGAGTAATTTATTAAACTTGTTGAAGGGGAGTAATACAGTATAGCTATATTTTGGACAAACAAACAAAAAAGGAAAATCAGAAACAGCAATGATACTAAACTGCTTTTTTTTTTTCCCCTTATTTTATAACTATTTTGAAATTCAAATTATCAAAATTGATTAAATATGAAGACCATGTTGGGCCTTAATTACTGTAGTTAAAGCCATTAATAAAGACGACAAAGCCCAAAGGCTTCAAAGCCCAGTAAAAAATTAAGACCAGAAAACCCCACCCAAGGCAATTGAACCGAACTCCTTCCCTCCTTTGTGCTGACACAAAGCAACAATGGATGATGCTCACGTTGAAGATGGAGAACACCATAGCAAAGACGGCGAGGTTGCGCCTGCCCTCATCTCCGTTCACCCGAACCAGAACTCTGTTGCAGTCGCCTTTGGTCTGAACCTTCGGGTCTTCGATCTCGTATAACCTTTCCTTTCCAGCTTTCTTACTCCAATACTAATTCTTGAATATATGGGATTATAATTTTACTAAACATCACATTTTCACTATAGAGTAGCCTTTTTTATTGTTATTTATGGTGAAGTGTTTTTGAGTATATTTTAAGATTAATTTCTCTCCATCTTCATATTAATCTGATGCATTCAAAAAAATTAATTTAAAAACTTGAACCTAAACTTAACTTAAAAAACAACACTTGCTTATCAATGATTCAACCTTTGGGTTATTAATGATTCAACCTTTGGGTTATTAAAAGGTTGCTTATTAAAGGAAATTTTCACTAGAGTTGAAGTTGCCCTGGATTTTATTTTTTATTTTTTATTTTATTTTTTATTATTTTATTTTTATTTTTATTTTTTTTGCATTGTTAATATTAGAGGGAATGTAGTGTTATGGATAATCAGTTGATTTAATTCAAGGTATACGTTGAATTAAATTGAAAGAGAGTTTCCTTTTGCCTTTTCTTTTAACATGATTTTTGTTCCCTTGACAGAGGGGATTGTGGGGTTACTTTGGTGGATGAATCTAATGAACTTTTTCACATGGATTCAATAAGAGCTATTCGCTTTGGGGCAAAAGGGAAGCTCTTTGTATCTGCTGGTGATGACAAACTTGTTAAAATTTGGTCTGCCGAGTCTTGGCACTGCATTGCAACGGTGTAAGCTTTAGCTCCTCCAAAATGGGTTTCTTTTTTCTCTTTCGTTTTCGTTCTTAAAATGTATGCAGGATCAGTACAAGGGTGTTTTGTCTTAAAAATTTTAAGGTTTTGCACTTATTAGAATGATTCAATACTATTTCTTTTGTATGTGGAAAATAAAATTCTTACTGCAGTATCTACGAAAGCAATTTTTTTTTTTTTGAGTTGTCCCCTTTGTTAGATTTGTGCTATATATATAGCAAGTTATTTGCAATATGGATAGAAGGTCTGCCCTTTAATTTCCAGGTGAATTGTCCTGAATGTTGCAAGTGTAACAGGCGCTTGTGCTTTCAAACACAAACCACAAATTAAGGTTTTTTCCAAAGCTAACTATACTTGTTGGCTTGTGCTTTCAAATACAAACCAAAAATTAAAGTTTAATGCTGAATTGTGGGGAGTGGTGTGCCCCTATAAGGCTGAATTTTGGTCATATAAATGTACAAAACACTCTTCCAGTAAAGAGTTGATACTTGTCTCTCTTTTCCCTTTTTGATCTTCAGATTTCATTAAATATCGCTGTTTATAGTCAGGATATGTATTGATTTCATTAATCTATTTACAGGTTCGTTTCTTGCCTTGCCTTCGTCTACACTCCGGATTACCCCGAAGGTTTTCTGGTGTCTGGTAGTGGTGATTCTAGTGTGAGTGTTTTGAAATTGATAGCTTTACATGTTTACACCTTGTGGTTTAACTGCATTAAGTTTCATACTTAAAAATCTGTGATTCTTTTCTTCAGTTTTGCTTGTGGGACATTATCTCTGGATCTCTCCTTGATACCTGTGGAATTGTGGAATAGGTATCCTTGTTACAGAATTTTTTTGAGATCATTGATATCATTTCCATAGAGCCATGAGGTAGAAAAAGGTCTTGGTGACACATTTAGGACTAAAATTTCTCCAGTTCCTTAAGTGTATTTTGCATTAGGTACACCATTTTTCTTGGATTTTGTAGCTAGGCTGGTATTTTACTTGGTTTCACTTGCTTACTGAAGGCAGGACACTTAAGTTCTGATGGAAATAAAGAGGTCTATGCTGCTGTTACTGATCTATGCACAATCCCAGATTGTACCCTCATTGCAGCAGCAATTCAAAAGTGAGCATCTGAGTGTTGTATGTTTTGTCTTTTCTCTTCCACATGGAGTTCTTGTTTTTGTGTCAATTAACTTAAAACTCTTACCAAGTTATGTGTAGCTTCCAAGGAATAATGTTGCCGAGCTGGGACCTGTCTTGTCGAACTCTTTCTATTGTCAAGGTAAAGAAATGACTGGCTAAACAATTCAGCTCTATTTGATCGATTGTATCTAACCAAAAAGGACTATGTATGTATGATTGAATTTGAAAACTTCCCAGTGAATTCAAGCAGTAGTTGAAACATATGTGTCATGAGTTTGCTTGCATGTTTTGTAATTTTGTTTTATTACTTTCTTTTTCCTGATATCACCACATCAATTTGAATATTGCTCCATCCTGTCTGTTCTCTCGCATATGAGTCTCCGAAGCAGCCAAAGTTGACATCAAATATGGAAATTTAGTCAAGTTATTGGAACTTTCTTGCTTGGTAATGACGCACTCAAGCAAATATAATCTCCTATTTGATTGGTTTGACCATTGCAGGTGGTTTCCATCACGGAAGAAACTTTCATCCCAACAAGCCCTAGCAGTAGCATCACAGGAGGATTGTTATGGATGGTAATTGGCATCTCCAACCTGCCTCCCGTATAAAGGTTATTTTTAGTTTCAAGCAATGCAGCCCTGCCCCTGCAGAACATGAGCCGGTTGTGTTAGAAGACAGTAAAATACCTGGTGCTTTGAAACTGCTCCAGAAACTGCAGTGTGGTTTTTCTGTTTATGAAAAGGTCTTCTTAGCAGCTGCTGAAACTCTAAGAAGATCAATGTGCAATTTGTTAATTAAGAAGCAGTATCCTGAGGGGAACCGAGAATTTAGAAACAGAACCAGGAATGATAGGAAAATCAAGAGATGAATAAAAATTTTGCTATTCTTTACTTTCAACTAAGTTTTTGATGCATCTGATTGTATGTTGTAACGTTAGTTATTCATTATTATTACATGAAATAAATTCAATATAGGTTGTGTTTGGAGTTACAATCTTATCTATCAATTTTCAAAATTTTTATTAGTATATTATATAAATTCACGGTGTGAAATCTATTAAAATAAAACTTATACAAGAAAAATGTAAAGATTTTTTGTTTTGTAATTCAGAGTATATTGAACTGCAAAATAAAAAACTTTTAAATAAAAAAAAAGCTTTCGAAATTAGATAATTCATTTCTTATTAAAAAGTTTTGTTATGTAGTTTACTATAATTTATTACACAATAATTTTAAAAAAATATGACTAGACTAAAAGATTTACAATTTTGACAAAAAGTGGGGAGGGGCGGTGGGTTGGGGGTGAGGGTGAGGGTGAGACTAAGCAAGCTCTATTAAGGATCTCCAATGGCTATCATAAGCTGATATAGAAGTTTGTTTTCTTATTTTTTTCATTTCTGGGCAGGGTGTACCTAGGGAATTATAGTTGGTAAAGATAAAGAATGGCAATAACCGACCTAGAATCATTAAGACCTACAAATTTGAGTAGGATTAGGTTATGGGTATTACTATTTTTAGGTCATCTGCAGGTTGGACAATTGGCCTCAATTCAATTGGTTAAATATACAAAAATTGCATTGTGGTCTAATTAGCCTCAGCAAAGTAGGTAAAAAAATCAAATGGGATTTGCCTACTTTCATCTCTAATGCTCTATTCAATTGCATTTGCCGTATGTCATTATCAATACTACCATTTTCATGAAACCGTGGCTCCATTGTATGATTTTTTCAAAGTTTACATTTTTTTCCCTTCCACCAAAATATCGAGTAATAAAAGATAAGGTGGTCTTTTCCATTTTTCAAATCTATCTAAGTTTGAAATACATAATGTAATTGTCAAGACTATAGAGTTCCTTAAATATTTTAGATAAGAAAAGGGCAGAGAGGGATTTCAACTAATCTAATTACATTATTGGCTAAATAAATTAATTTAATTGATTAAAATAGTCTTTTTTCTCTTCTTCTCAAATTCTTAAAAATGTTAATACACACTAAACATATATTGCAATGCTACTGTGCAAGAGTAAGTAAATACTTGATATGAACAAGGTTTTTTTAAAGTTTATTAGTTAAAGTTAACGATTTAAATAATTCAGTGGTTATTTCATTTCGTTGGAAGTAAAAAATCTTAAATTTGAGTTGTATAGCATATGGGTAGGATAGATGAAATAACAAATAAGAGATAGTTGCCTCTCATTGTACTAAGATTAAAAAATAAAAATTATTAGTTAAAGAAATATAAATATCATTAACACTTTAAAACGTAAAAACTTTAAAACGTAAAAGTCTACTAAAATAAGGTTACAAATATACTTGCAGCTCCAAAAGCTTGGTTGCTACAAAAAATACGATGGTTAATATCAAAAACAAAAAAATTTTGTACTGTATGAATGATTGATGGAAGAAGACCCTGGATATGGAAACTGTTATCCCTCAATTACGAGGCAAAAATCAACATTAAGCCCCTCATATTATAAAATTGATAAATTTTAATTTTTTACCTTATAATATGACAGTTTTAGTTTTTTATCTTTCAAAATTGATAAGTTTTAGCCAATCACCTTATAAAGTTAGTAGATTTTAACCCTTTATCTTATATTATAATATTTTTAACACATCACCAATACGAATTAAAAAAAATAATCCTCACCTAATATCAGGTTATAATATTATGTTAGTTCTATCAGTTGACTATTAACATCTGTTAGCATTTTATTATAAAAAATATAAAATTTAAATTCAATTTTATTTGTTAGTTTCATTAACGAAATACTAATGAATACTAATAGTCAAATAACAGAACTGACAGTCAATTAATAAAACTGACAATTAATTAATAAAATTGACAATCAGTTAATAGAACTGACAGTCAGCTAACAAAACTAATAGAACATTAATACCTGATGTTAAATAAAGGCTATTTTCTTCAATTCGTATAAATAAGGGGTTAAAAGTGTCATAATATAAGGTGATG